GACCTCCATACTCCGACCTCGCAATCAGGAATCTTTACTTTGGTGGCAAGAGCATTTTATCATTCGCTCTCCTCCCAGTGATTTTTCAACATCTAAGAAACCAGTTTGTTGTTCATGGACTAGTGATTATCTCACTTGTTTGATTTAAACATGAGACCCAATGAATGTTTACCAGGTACAAAGTAGTGCCCTCATTGACTAGCCAGTGTTGTTTTTAAATAAAAAGATTTACTAGTGATAGTAGTGTCTAGCGTAACAAGCGGACATGTGAACGCAGTATGGATTTTACGGGGTGAAGCTAATAATTCTATGATTTGGTATTCAGAATTTATTTTCTAAGTGCGGAAATCTTCAAATTATGTCCGCTTTTGGGAATTTGTTTTTTAGCACGGCATTAGGGATGAGGTTTTGTTTTTTGGAAAGAGGCAATCGAGGTGAATAAAACAGGGAAGTCGTTCATACTGCGCAGTTTTTCACGGTGTGCTAGTGGTATGTTCTGGAATGTACCTACTTAATTTTGCATATTAACATTCATTTGAAGAGTAAACATGTTTTTAATATAAATCAGGCAACCTTCTATGAAGTAATTTGTATGCCATTTGGATACCGTTTGCAGCAAGCCTTAATCTGATGAAAATAATTGCGGTCTTCTTTTCTGGACATTTCATTTTTGAAAAAATTGTCTTCAAAGTTAATACAAACTGCGGTATTTTCCTACAAAGTCTGTTTAATACGAAGAAAAATTGATGGTTGTTAAAGGGCTAAATAAATCAACCTTCAGATAGAACGTTTTATATGAAGTGCTAGGGGATATGGGACGAATAGGAATATTAATAAATTGATAAAGAAATAAACGTTCGGGATTTATAAAAGGAAGAGACTTCATTAGATCTGGCACTACTCACTTTTAATAGTGCAAATTATTGGTTTGGGATTTATGAAGAAAAATACGCGTTTGGACGAGTGGACCACTATGTTTTTACTTGAAAAAATGCTTTTACATCGCAAAATCATGTAATTTTGTCATCCGGAGGTGTAGCAGAATGAAAGTGCCAACATTCAAAAAGCCTCTTGTGTTTGCAATGCTATCTTGAAAATTTTGTATGTAAAACATTCAACTTTCTAAAGAAGTAATAAAAATAATATTTTTGTAGAAAATTACCTTTTTAATGAAATTTGTTTGAAGCGTAAGTGTTCAATAAATAAGGCCTCAAACAGTTCATTTACATCATCTGAAGTGTTAAACAAACAGAACTTGAGACGACAGCAATAAGGATTATTAATAAAATATTGCACACTAAAGCAGTGGGTGATCAATGAAAGAAACCATGACATTAGTGTGTTGGCGAATGTAGGTAGGTTTACACATAAAAATTGATTTTAAACTGAAAAAATGTGTTTGGCATATAAAAAAATAGAAGTTTATGCTAAAAAATCGAAGTTTAATTTGGATTTTGTTGAAAATATCGTTAAATCCGAGGAAATAGAAATATAGTGCCGCGTTACAAATTTTTAAAATAAATGCAACACTAACGACTAATTCCTATCAAATTGTCTGGAAAATTTTAATGTTGTAAATTCTTTATTATGTTGATGTCATGATAAGAAATATTTTATTTCTTATTAATCGCTTAATTGTTTTTATTGAATTATCCGCAACATTCTGTCGATTTTTATTGAAGCTCTGGTAGTTTATACAGGGTATCCAATTTAGTTAGCATTTATGTACTGAATCATTTCTTAAAATTAGAAAGATATTTGCAGGGTGATAAAAAAAAGTGTTCAAGTCGACTTTTCATCAATTTGTTATGTTTGGATTTGTTTTCAATGTTTAATGCAAGTGTCTTGCTGATGATTTTTTGAAAACTTCCGGTATTTGTATATTTGCAAGAACCAGCTGCCAGGGCTTAGCAATGCATAAACGAATTACGCAATTATTGTTATTTTAGTCTCTTTTAAATCAATTTAGTTACCATCGACTTATTTAATTTTGTCTCTAAGCACGACGCCTCGATGTACGTCCACAAAGTATTGAATATTTCATAAATGCAATAAAATACCGCATGTTTGCTTTGAGGAGAATGATTTTAATGGATTTAAGTTGTTTGCATTCAGACGTATTTTCCTAGTCACGCTGTATAATTTATAGAATATAATTATATAGAAACGGAAACTGTAGTTTTTACGAAAGATACCGGAATTAAGAACTTTTGGGGGACCAGTTAGCAAAAATCTGGGATTTGTTTTGTTTCATATCTGTAATTAGATGAAAAATAGATAGATTTGCTATAAAACGTATAATAACATATGTCACATGATATAATATATGCTATAAAATACAGCATGTCTCATTTAAAAGCTCTGAGTTGGTGCCTGAATGCTCGTTTCGGCTGTGGCCTCTTTTATAGTTAAATTATGCTGATTATAGCAGACACGGTACTACGTCTTACTTTAATAGTACAATCGGGATAAGTGACCAAATAAGTGTATGCAGCGACTACGTGTAAACAACGCTTGTTTGGAACATACTATTCACACAGCTTTGAAGTTACCTATATATTTACACAGGAGTTTCAAGTGTTTAAGACAATATTAATAATAATAATAAGATAAAATGTCAATAACGTGATTTTAGTTCCTCGCAAATTGATAAGAATGAACATAGTTTGAAAAACATGATTATCTAAAGAAATCATAATCAATTAATTGTTTCATACAGAGTGAACGGCTCTGACTTCTTTAGTCAATTCAAAGTAGGCTTCAATAAATCAATGAATTTTTAGGAGTTGGCGCAGTGCTACGCAAATGGCTTGGTGCGCCAACCCAGCGCACCGGGGCGATTAATTTTTACTTGTTTTTAAATTTATTTTAATGGGCATTTATCAATAATATTTTTAACATTTCTTCAAAATTTCAGAATTTTTCAGTTTTAGCAAAGTTACTCTTTTTTCTAAATGCTCAATTTTCAAAAAAATCACTTACAAATACAGACATTCTTAAGATATTTTTCGTGAAAAAATACTTCATAAGTTTTATTAAAACACTTGCCTCCTTCGTAGCTTTGTAAACAGTTTTGAAATCCCTTCCAGCTTCGAATTTAGTACAAAAATCAAATAATTTTCTATCAAAAAACGAACAGAATAAGCGAAAATTTATTCACATTTTAACAGATTATTTGGGAATTTCGTTACCTCCATACCTCTTCTCCATAAGACTGCAGACTTTGTTAAAAAAATGTGTTTTTTTAGTTTTGACGTATTTTTTTTTTGCTTTACTTTCTACTCAAAAACGTTCTATTTTGTAGAGTTTTACTTAAAAATACTGACGCTCTGGATCTATTTTACGCGAAAAATTACAAGATTTATTTATAGCTTTGTAGTAATTTTTCAAAAACTTATTCCGGAGTCGAATTCATAAATTTATCCCGTTTTTCCGCGAAAACTATTAAGGTTTTCGCAAAAACCTATCACAAAACTAAAAGTTTTAAATCAAAAACGCAAAATATGTAATTTTCTGATTATTTTCTGACAATAATGAGGTTTTTGCAGCCAAAATTGATTTTGCTAGAAAATTCGCTTCATTCATCGGTTTGCAGAGAACTTTAGAAAACCCTTTTCAGCTTTGAATTTGGCACAAAAACCGAATAATTTGATTCAATTTTTCTAGTTTTCCTTCAAAATTCTGACATTTCAGCTTCGTATTTGGGACAAGAATCAAATCATTTTCTATCAAAACAGAATCAGTGAAAGTTCAGTTTATAATGGATTATTTGAAAAACTCGTCACCTCCATCCCTCTAAAGACTTAGTTGAGCTTGTTTAAAAAAATGGGGTTTTTTAGTTGAGACTGATTTTTTTGCTGTACTGTCCACTCAAAAACGTTCTATTTATTCTATTTTGAAGAGCTTTAATTGAAAATACTAACGATCTGGACGTATTTTACGCGAAAATCTATAATATAAATCTTGCGTAGGAATTTTACAAAAACTTTTCGGTGTCGAATTCGGGTCAAAAACGAAAATGAACTTTTTCGTTTTCTCCCGTTTTTTTCCGAAAATTATTAAGATTTTCTCAAAAACCAATCATAAAACTAAAAGTTTTTAACCAAAAACGCAAAAACCATTATTTTCAGATGATTTTTGTTTAGAATAATGGGGCCTTTTCAGCCAAAATATGACAAAATTAATTTTGCTAGAAAATTCGCCTCATTCAACGGTTTGCAGGAAACTTCTGTGGAAATTATAAAATAAATTTTATTGGGACACTCGGCTCCTGAACAGCTTTGTAAATTTTTTCTGGAACCTTTTGCAGCTTCGAATTTTGGACTTCGAATCCTGAACAGAACAAGTGAAAGTTTATAATCAATTATTTCGTGAAACTCGTCATTTTTGTCGCTGTGAATAATTTGGTTTATTTAAATACCGGTTTCTTTACTGTTAGGTCAATATTTCTAAACCAAACTCTCTCTAAGCAGAACAACGCGTTTTTTTCCTAATGTTTTTCTGTAAATTGCTGGCAAACTGAGACTCTTTTATGCAAAAAAGTTAAAAGATGGATTTTCAAGAAAGGTCTTCAGTCTTCTTTATCGTCTTTTTCGAATTCCGTTTTACCTTTGAATTTGGGACAAAATCGAAACAAAGTTATCGTGTTTTTTTTCGACAAAATTTATATTTGGATTAACTAATGAGTTAAAGCTCATTAACTCAGAGAGCGGCAACAACTCAAAAGCGCAACTCAACACAGTGTTATTGCCCAGGCCTTATTCAAAGTTCATTATGTGGTCATTAATATACCTTTTCTTCGTGTTTTTCTGGTATTGACTGGGTTTCCTTCTTTTTTTCTTTCGTCGACTTAAGGTTTCTTTTAACACCCTGTTCGCAAACATTCTAGTGCGAGTCAAGGGATTCAGTCTAGTTGAATATGAAAAATATTTGCGTAATTAGCGTCTCATTTATGTTGTTTTTTGCTACTTGCAGAGTCACTAAACTGAAATAAAATCGGATTTGCGTTCACATGTTCGTAATGGTTATGTTTTGTATGCCTAGTGGACGTGTAATATAAAATCGGGCTTCCAGTGTAGTTTCGCACTATTGAGCGTCATCAATCATTATTGCACTAAAATCAATTTAGTGGCTCATAAATTTCGGATAACAGCGATTGTGCCGGCAAAAACATGTCAGTAAAGTTTAAAGACCGTTATAATTTGTCGTGTTCGGACCTGAAGTTTATGACGAAAGTGGCGAACAATCCCGATTTTCCTCATGCAGCTGAGGATGTCGCAGCTCTACGCAAAAGGAAAGCGTGTCGGCAACGGAGTTTTAAGTATGGCCTGGTGCATTCCGATCTGCAACTGCCGAAATGCAAACAGGAGAAGCTGAGGCACTCCACTCTGGAGCCTGGATGTAACGTCGATTTGTCGGCTAAGAAGGAGAGTTTTGGAGGCTTTGCCAGATGGTGGAGAAAATTGAAGATTCGCCTGCACAAACGATGTGAGAAAGCAAGTACGTTCTTACTTCCGATTTACCAGATATTTCTAATTAAGGCACCACCTGGGGTGTGAGTGACACGTGTCACTGTACTTTCCACTAGTAATTTCGCCAAGCTATTTGTTCGTAATCGAAATTTATTTTCAACTTTATTAACGAATAACCAACGGTATGGCTGGACATGCCGTTAGGGTGCAACGCAAAGGTGCAAAGGAAATTTTAGATGACGAGTGCATAGAAAAGTACCTTTCCACGACTAAAGTGACATCAGGTATTCCTAAGCGCAATTTGTTGCTAAATTTCCAGTTTCGGTTTGGTTTAATGCGTCTTTTCCTAGAAGATTGCTGATACCGATCAACAGCTAGTCCTTCCTTCGGTTGTTATCAGTGTGACCTTGTCTATTAATTACAAAGTTCCAAAGTTTGCAAACGAAACGAGCGCGGTAGAAACGCGACCAGCTCTCAGATTTAACATTTTCGTGTAATATTTACATAAACATTACATGCGATTCTCTCATGTTATGATATTAGGTCATTTTGTGCTTAAATCCGACAGTCGCTGGACAGTTCTCTTCGGAACTTATCGCTACTGATAGTCATTATTATTTAATTGCTTTCAAACAACGTTGATTTCATTCCAGTGTTCTCACAGCTCTTATACATGCATGCATGCAGAACATATGAATGTAGTTAGTTAATAAATTGCGTGAAACGTTTATTTAAATTTCCGTCATTGGCTTTTTTTCTCACAAAACTGTTGCAAATAGAGTATTGTTGCTGTTTAGTAACTAGTCAGGTTTTAAATGCGCACTTTCAGTGATTGTGTGTTAAATGGCACCGAAAATGTGCTTTATAGGAATCACCGTTCTGCTGAACCTGAACACCAAACTGATGAATTTCTGTCGAGGTAAGGGATCTTACTTACGTGGGAATACATTAAAACAGTTCTTATTGAAAGAGAAACTGAACACGGAAACACGGCCAGAAAAAAATGAGTCAAAACAGCTAAAAATGTTGATATTGAAGGAGAATACGGATTTGGAACGACTTTTTTATACAGGGTTATTCACGCTATACGGCACGGAAGTGTGCGGCTAAACCGTTTGATTTTATGAATTGTCCGACGTCTACCGGGCGCACATTTTAAAAATATTTTCGTAATGTAAGCTCTAAAGGTATCAAAGTTGCGTTTTTTTAAATGGAATGTCCTGTATATTATTGCATTTTTGGATTCGCTGAACAAAATAAGTGTCTGTTTT